ACTTTCTCATTGCATGTTCTATTTATGCTTGGAATGTTAAAAAATTTTCATTGGACTGCTAGTGTAATATAGATTATAAAACTTAGTACTCTTTTTGATATTAAAGAATAGCAGAAGAATAATGTGTTTATGTAATGTATGTTCTCTGCTTTTCGTCTGTCAATTTAACTTAAAATTGAAGTTTTATGACAAATTGCTGTATATAAAAGTGTTTCATCTGCTTCACTTCTTTCAAAAATCGTCCAGTCTTCTTCTAAGAAGGCCGCGATTAAAAAATTTGGCGATAGTGGGATACTCGTTAGTAAACGGGTGTAAAGTAGTTGTGCTAGGGCGAAGGAAGCTGTCGAAAGTGTCCCTGATAAAACCGTCTTCCTCGCAGTTGATTTTTGAGCAGTTTGGGTCATACTGTAAAGAATTGCCGAGTGTGCTAATGCTAAGAAGTAACAGACGACGAATGAGGCTTGCAATAGGAGGGTGACCTCTATGGGTGGAGCCTGTCTACGTGACAGACCTCCGACACTCTTACCAAGTACTTTGGGCTGGGAAATACGTCTGTGGTTGAGGAGCGGGCTGCCTCGTGGTAAGAACTGACCTTCAACATCAAGTTTGCAGGCCGTACCTTCGAGGTTGTGACCTTGATTCTTTTTGTGAAAAGGCTTAATTGGAACTGGTTTTCTAACATCGGTAAGGTTTCCCAGTTGAGAAGCAAAATATGAATGAAGTGGAGAACTCCTCCCGTCACTACTTGGAAAGATGATCGCAGTATTGATTACCTTTGTTTGATCTTTACTTCATTATGCAGCCATTATCCCCACAAACGATGAGTTGTGACGCAGCGTGGATTGGAGCGCTGCTAAAAAGTTCATACTTTGCGGCAGCGTGCACCAGCGTTCCAAGTTTCCGGCAGCGTCAGCGACTAGGAAAGTTTAGATATCAATCTAGCGTCTGCCTGCGTCCACCAGCGATCAGTAGCGTCTCGAGGGCTAGAGAAGTATAGGTATTGATCTAGCGTCTGCAAGCATCTAGTAGCGACAAGGAGCGTCTGGGAGTGGAGAGTATGGGCGACCGGAAGGTAGCGGACAGCTGGTTGAGTATGAGGAGACACCAGGGTAGCAGATAGCTGGTAGAGAATGGGAAGATAGAAGGTACACTGTAGTTCGCTGCGGACGGTGGGGCGTGTCAGCCAGAATGAGTGTGCACAGCAACAAAGCCGTTCTCTGCCGTTTTGTTGAAGCGCGCATGCGACAAAAAGTGGTAGAAAACGAGTAATACGAACGATATGATACAGCATTGTCACTTGCTCGCTTCAACAACTGGTGGAGAACGAGTTTGGCACCGCGCCAAACGCAGCCGCACTGACACGCCCAACCGTCCGCAGAGAACTACACTATACAGATAAAGTATGGCGCGATTGGAAGGTATTAGACAGCTGGTAACCTCTTATCGTCCCATACTCTCTACCAGCCTGCTGGACGGTGGTAGACGCTGGCAGACGGCGGGAGACGTTACACTTACTTCCCTGCCCTCGGACGGTGCTGGTCGCTGGCAAACGCCAGATCGATATCTAAACTTTCCTAGTCGCTGGCGGACGCTCCGAACGCTAGTGCACGCTGCCGCAAAGTATGGGCGCAGACTAATAATGCCATTCTGATTTCGCAACACTTGGTGAGGTAGGGTGCTCTGGTGGCGATCCAACTTGCCCCTTCACACGCCCTATCGTTTACAGAGATCATGACTTTATATGGACGGTTTCAATGCTCCGGTAAAAAAAGGATTCCACAGTCTAATTTAAAGTACAGAACAAAGAAAAATTGTGAGATCATTTGTTATTGTGTTCACTGAGACAACTTTTCATGTAGTAGTGTTAATAGACGAATGTGTATGTACATGATGGAACAATCGGTATCGATCTTGCGTCGACCATCGCTTCAATGTCGGCTTTCAACTCCTGAAATGTCGCAGCGAACAAATGAACAGCGCAGTTTGAATTAATCGTCTTTGTTCTCGTGTTTACGTATCCATGTCCCATAGAACTATACAGTACTCAGTGTTAGCGTACAGTATCTCAAGGGGAGGGCCGAACTTGTCTTCAGGGAGATCGGGGTGCGGGTGAGCGACTGCAATTGGTGGAAAACAGGGCGGACGCCGCGCTAGACCTTGTCCCTCCAATGCGCCCCAGCATCTGCAACGAACATGTGTGATACACACTGGAGTATGTGTAGGGCCGCTTTCATAACTCGCCACTCTGAAAAATCGGATGGAAACAAATCCTCGGGAGAATCCCACTGGGTGACTGTATTTGATCGGTGGGTCGGGGGGGGGGGAGGGGTGAGGGAGGAAGGGAGTGAGTCGCATCTGAACGTAAGAGAACCCCTTAAGAATGCAGAGTTGTTGATTTTCACCATTCCATGCGCGTTTGCGCGTTTAACACTCCTCCAGGTCACGGCATCGCAAGACTTCTATGTATATAACTACTCTCTCCGGAGGTTGATGAGAATACCTTCCCACTCTTCTTCCCCCTACCCCTTCTCGACCCCACTTTTCGGGGGGAAGATGAAATTTTCGGAAACATGATACGGAGTTAAAGGAATCTGGTGAAGGGATAGGCAGGCTGTAAGAGGAAAGTCGTAGTAGAAATGGAAATGGGAATGGGGTATGAAAGCTGAACTAATTCCACCCATCCCGTTGCCCTGATTGGAAACCGCGGAGTTGGGGGCATTTGTGGGATCCGCGAGAAGATTGGATAGGTACTATGTATCGCCCAGCTGCGAAATTGGCGAAGCAGAGAGTCTACTCGGCACTATTTACCCTTTACCCCAGCCTCAAAAACAGGCCAGTTTTTTACCGACTTTTTTCTGCGTAGGCGAAATTGGCTAAAAATTTGTTCCCTGAGGTAGTTTGACCTCCTGAACACGAATATCACATCCGCTCGGCGCGAAACCTCCTAGCGCCGCCGCTACAGCGCGACCGCACACTCGCTCTCTCCTTTTGCGCGCCCCTGCTGCGCGAAGCGCCAGGAAGTTTCAGGCTAAGCGAGTGTCGACACTCGATTCGAAGAGGTCAAGCGCTAGCCCAGAGACAACAGTTTGAGAACCGATTCGCCCATAGAAGAAAAACCGGTGAAAATGGCTCAATTCTGGATGGTTGGGGCAGCAAAGGGGTAAGACAGTTGCCGTCATTTTTTTCCGCGAAAGTCTCGATTCTCCCATTTCCGCGATTCTCGTCTCCCCAGTATCGCAAAGCTGAAGATTGAACATGCGGCCTAATCGGAATCAGGCGAGACTTTGAAATATGATTTTCATGAACACTCAGCTGTAATCACCTGTATATGCATGTCAGTCTCCACAAATCTCGGCTTTACTAAGTCCAACATATTCGAATCTTTCACATATATTGCATGTTCCGGATAGAAAGGTAACAGCAAGCGCATCGCTTGCAATGTTCGTTCAGTCAGTCGAAAATCTGACGTCGATAGCAGTGTTGGAATAACATAAAATACTCCTGAAATCATAGATAAGTCATTAGCACTGTTGGGGCTGCGTTCATACTTTGCGGCAGCGTCCACCAGCGCGAGCCCAAGCCAACTACCAGCGCCTTCCAGCAACCACCAGCGTCTGTCAGCCAGACACAGGGAGTAGAGCGTATGGGGAAGTATGTGGCATAGCAAAGAACTGGATTTGACGCGTGAAACTGCGGCGCTATTGCAACCGTACAACTACACTATACCGTGCATTAAATTGCATATTTCCGTGCTTTTAGCAGTTGTGCAGTGCGGTTGCACACGCCGCAATTTCACGAGGCCTAATCCAGCTTTTGCTACTCTCGCAATTCTCCATACTCTCTACTCCAGCTCGCTGACGAACGCCGGTGGACGCTGGTTTGACAAAGCATTGGAACGCAGCCTTATAGAATATTTAAAATCGCAAATGATAAGTGGGTGGCCGACATTTGAAGGCGAATTTTATAGGAGAAAAACCAAGCGTCAAACCTGCCTGCGTTACAGACAATAATTTTTTCCGACCTGTAGAAACAAAGAACAGATGCGCCGGTTGCGAAGGTTAGGGAACATGTAACCAAGTTGCCCAACTTAACATAAGTGAGGGCAAGTTAACACACTAGTCGCATTAGTGTTGAGGCGTGGTTTAAATTGGGAATCTGACTATGCCAAATCAGTCCTTGCCTAAGTGTTTTCAGTCGTCTTGCACATGGACTAGGGCTTAGTCAAAACCATATATATGTAAGTGGGATTGACTTGCTCCTAACAGACGCTTTAAGCAGGAATTGATAAAGAGGCGCTCATACCACGGCACATCATGAGGGGGTTCTTTAACAGGGGGTTCGTATTCGGTCGATGGGGGAAAGTGGGTCGTGTTTGGTGGGTCGTTCGTTTTGCCTCTGAATTTTTTTCTGATAGCAGCATTCTCGTTTTAGCGAAGTACGTGCTATTAGGGAAGAGGGCCGTATCTGGCCCGTTATTTCTTGGAGAGGGGGTCATATTTAACCTCGCGGATTTTCCCGGTTCCACATGTGCTTATTACCCGCCCCCCCTCCCCACCACTCGATCGCTCAGAGGAGCAAACCAGGGAGATCGTATCAAGCCATATTTTAGGGGGGGGGGTCGTACGGACTCGACCTAAATCCCCAAATGATGATGTGCCCCGTTCATATTTCACTGTGAGTAATTCAGCTGCGCAACTGTGACCGTCCATGCCTCACCGGTACTTGCTGAGTCGCGAGAACGGCCGTAGGAAATTAGTATCTGGGGAGCGGCGCGGTCACATTGCTATTGACGTGTCATGATAGATAACTCCACACACTTTCCACTTCGGATAACTCGTCCTGACCATCAGACTGCCAAATTTTCGCGATTGATGGCGCTCTAAGTCTTGATGTTTGGCTTCGGGTTCCCGCCCTTAAACTGCAGCGCTCCCAGTCGTCAACTTGGGTCCTTTCCTGAGAACGTGTTGCGGGTCATGATACGTCAATGTTAATGTGATCGCATTATGATCTTTTACCCATTACTCTATTCCGCTGAATTTGTTTGAATTAGCCAGTCAAAAAAAGCAGTGAGTACGATTATGGCTTCGGAGCGCAGTCCGGTTCGCCGCATTGTGCATCCAAGATCGCGCGAGCTGAGCGTTTCTTATCGTTGGAGTGCTAAGGCAAGTCTGATTTTCCCCTAATAAAATGCTTGCAATTGTACTGTTTTCACCTGCTGCGACCATAAACTTTGTTTTGTCGACATTTGCTCCAGTAAGTAAATTGACAATTGTCCACATGCATTCCTAGAAGTGTAGAACTCTTCATTATAGGTCACTATGCTATGAAGCACTGCCATGGCAGCCAAAAGAAAACAGAGCTTGCTTTTTTAAGCTTTTTCTCTGATGAAGAGCAACCTTCGAGTAACATCGCAAACACGTTCCAGTCCAAGAACAGCAACTGGAATTGAAAACCTTTCTCCTATGTTATTAGCACATTGAACATTACTTTCAAACAGTAAATTTCGGAAGTTTTTACAGGTTCTGGACAAGGCTTACTTCATTTGAGCACGCTGTCCGTGATTATCTAATATATATCTATCTATTATCTAAATAGAATCCATTCCCTGACGAGGGGACCCGGCCCGCAGTAGCATAAGATGTATCATTTTCGTTGCTCGAAAATGAAATGGCAAGAGCGCTGAGTCTGTCAGTCGTCCGGCCCCGCCCGCCATTTGGGTGTCCCACCAGAGATGACATTTTTGGCCGATGCGTTGCTCTTTGTGGTGTTCTTCACCCTTCTATTCACTAATCGTTTGTTACTGGTCCCTCGCTCGCGCTGGCCCTGTCCCTTCGCCTCTACATTTTCGCACAATGTTGAAAACCAGGGGAGGGGTGGGTGCTTACTTGGGGCGTTTTTAACGGATTTGTCTGTTTTCCCATCTACTGGTGAGCCAACTAGTATGTTACGACTTTTTGGAGCAAACTACGAAGGCATCAGCTCAAAAAGTTGGCCGTCCTTATAGCCAACCTTGGCTAGTCAAACTTACATCCGCATGATCGGGCCTGCTTGCAGCAATGTTTGAGCACATCCACGCAGCCTCACGGCGCACATCGCAACGTGATTTGTGCGAAAGGGAACGAACCTGATGTAGATTATGTTTTCGTGAAGGAGAGAAAAGGTTAAGGCAGCGGGCCTGATGGCTGGAGGCGGGCGGTTGCTGCTAGCATCGTTGGTAGGAAGAAGCAGCAGTGCGGTAGGATTTTCGCAACCCCACTCAGCCTTCCACCATGGGACGTTGGCAACAACCGCCCACCCCCAGCTGCTATTGCACACTGACTCCTAATAGCCCACCAAAAGTGGATCAAGCTAAAGTTGCGATACTACCAGAAATTTCATAAAAAACGTTGGCATGGTGATATAATGGCAGCCGTCTGGATATCGTTTCCTGTGATAATATTGCCGAGAATTCGTAGTGCACCATGATGAAGTTCACCTATCGGCTATAAGGATCACAATCACTTCAAATGTTACTTTACTGTATCATACAAATTCGTAGGGTACAGCAGTGCTGCATTTATACAACACTGTTACGAGAGGAACTGTAAACCAGGAACTTACCGAATCCAGAATCTCGAATGCCAAATCCACCAAACCCGGTTTCGAATAATAAGCGACATACCTCGATCTGAATTCAAAAGATCAAACCTCATATCTTTTTTTTTGTGGTTTTTTTTATTTGTATAATTAAACTCAAGCGCGTAAAGCATTAAAGACAGTATCCGCGCTCGAGAGGCCTTCAAAATGACTTCGCGCCTTCTGGAACCCTCTGCGCCTTGATGAAGATGATCCCGCTTTTATCCATCAATGGCGCGCGATGAGGAAGTTATCGCAATTTCGACAAGGCTCGCTAGGCTCACGGAGACGGTAGGTGGACGAGGCGTCTGGTCCCGAACTGCATCCGTCCCTTTAAAGCCCGCGCGTCCCTTTAAGCCCGCGGTCCCACTGGCATTTTTTGCCAAATGGCTCAATAGCCTCAGCTAAAGGTCTTACTTCGGTCAGGCTTGTAAACATGTGTGAAAGTGCGGAACCATTAGAGTTTTTTTTTTGCTTATGGAATGTAGTGCTTGCTTTTCCAATGGTAGGGAGATTTGTTGTCAAGTGGGGTTTGTTGTCATTTTCTTTCTTTTTCTTTTTTTTTCTTGTCAATTTCTCAAGAAAACTCCAGCAACCTTCCCAATTTTCTCTGTAAGCAACTCTAATCATCCCATCGTTGGAAATTGCAGTACGTTGCGAAGCGGCGCTGTAGCGCTACGCTCGTTCTAGCGCGACGCTGAATAGCGCCTATACAAGTATGAACGCTGCCTTACGTTCGAAAGTATCCTATTTCGAAAGTTGGGACGCAATTGCGGCTGCCGCATCGAATTCTGGCAGCCACGCCCGGCACACTCGTCCAGGCCCCGCCCCCACTGCTAAAGGTAGGTTTGGGTTCAAGGTGTTCCCGAAGATTTTTCTGCTTCTTTTTCTACTGAGAAGCTAACTATGGAAATACTGTGGTTGGTGACCAGAGTACACATTGCACCGCAATACTTGATCGCGATTAAAATTTGTCTTTAACGAGCCCTCACGGAGACTAGCGCCGCGAGAGGCTCATCGAGTGTTCCATAAGTTTGAAGAGCTTCCGAGAGCCATCAGCATTTCCTTTTCTCTAGAACAGGCGTCAACAAGCCTTGAATAGAGTGGGTATCTCTGGATAGGTATCTCTTAATAAGAGCTGGGGTCTCCCATCCGAGGGGTTTTTCGCTTGCTCTGATCGAGAAATTTCAACGATCACGGCAGATTAGCCCTGCCCATAGTTCAAACTCTCCCATCGCGGAGTGCGTCTTATGTGCAGCTCTCATCTGTTCTAGCTCGTCCGTCTTTCACGGATTAAGAAGCACGCGAACGGGGACCGACATACATTCAGGACGAGTAGGAAGGATTAAACCTAGCTACATTCCTGATGTGAAAGGCGTGGTTGCGTACCTCATTTGAACATACCGGAGGATGAGCTATCTATGAGTTTATTTTTCAGTTTCAGACAATTATCATGTTGCCTTGTTTTGGAAAAATACATGACACAGACTGAGCGACCAGTAGCCTGCTACCCTCCTCCCTCTCCATACCCTACCAGCTGTCTGCTACCCTCCTATCGCGCCACATGGGTGACGGATAATTGGTACGGTCACACGGCTTGCACCAGGCTGCGGGACAGCTTTAATGAGGTGCGAAAACTTGGTGTCTAGCTGCGAAGTGACCTCATTAACGAGGTAGGGCTCAGAGGTCATTTCATCATCCACATATCTTCACATTAGAATCAGAAAGATCAATAAATCGAAGAAATCAACGAGTATAGTGCAAGTTCTCAAAAAAATGTAGTGGAAGAAAATATCTGTGTTGTACATTTGGCCTGCACTAGTTACAAGTAGTAATCGGGAAATGTTCGCGACCTTCAATCATTCAGAACTTCCGCACCCAAATGCTACGAAATGGCGTCTGGAAAGTCTGGAAGCGAATTCTACTCTGGATAGGTTCAGCACATCAAAACAGATACACTATCAATAAAGTCTTCGTACCCCTCTGCCCCGCTCACATCTTCGTACTACGTTGATCAGTATTCACCCTATTAGACCCCCCTGCACCAACTCCTTCACAGAATTAGACTCTGCCTCACGGTTTGCCCTCTGTACCAACATCGTATTTCATCAGGAATGCCCCCTCCCTCCTTCAACTCCCCCCTCGGAAGTAGAATCCTACTGCAGGAAAATGTCAAGCTACGTGACTGGCAAACCTACACAACAACATTTGGGTTTTTATTTTTGCTTTCTTATGGTCTATTGCTGTTGACTCGTTTCTGAGTTTATTGATCTTCTTGTTTGTCGTGAAGATATCAAGGGTGACAAGATAACTCTCAGTCCTCTCTCGTTAATGAGTCA